TACAAGGTGGGGAATTTAAAGATGGGGGGGGATTTGATTCAGTGCTCATTTAAAGGTGGCTGTACCTAATTCACAGTTTCCAAAACAATTTGCAAACCAAAAATGTTGCCATCTTCCAAAATTTGCAGTTTTCTGAAATTTGCGATGCAGTTCGCCAGTCAAGTAATGTGTATAAATTCACACTGAAACACTGGCGAATTTTTAGGAAGATTTTTTTTTACATTTAAAAAAATAAATAAATGTGGAAATGTGGAGAACTGAACTAAGATAGGAAAAAGGAGAAACTGAGAGAAACCAAAACTGGCAGATTCACCCATCACTAATGGTGATACAATATAGTCTTTTTAGCTGTGGCACCAACATGCTGGAACCTGCTCTTCCAATAGACTCATGTTACCCCCTTCTTAATCAGATTTTAGATTTCAAGTGAAGACTTGATTTCAGACAGCATCTTGGGATCTACTAAGTGCATGACTCTGGAATTAATGGTGGATGCTTTTGAATGTTTTTCTGTTTTTTGTTTTTTATTGATTTATGCTCCTGGAGATGTTCAGAGTGCATTTTAAGTAAGTAGCGAGTGTCCTTGTACATCAGGGATTAGGGGATTAGATCAAATAATTCTGTATCCAGGAGTGAGCCCCAACACCGCTTTTTGCTAAAAATTAACCAGTGCTTTATCTATAATGATTCCTCCCATAACAATTGTACAGTAGTACCTCTGGTTAAGAACTTAATTCGTTCTGGAGGTCCTTTCTTAACCTGAAACTGTTCTTAACCTGAGGTACCACTTTAGCTAATGGGGCCTCCCGCTGCTGCCGCCGTGCAGTTTCTGTTCTCATCCTGAGGTAAAGTTCTTAACCAGAGGTACTACTTCCGGGTTAGCGGAGTCTGTAACCTGAAGCGTTTGTAACCCAAGGTACCACTGTAGTTTGATGAGTGTGCTGCGTACCCTTCTAAATACATCCCTAGCCCTAAACGGTACTTCACAGGGTTCTTTGGTACAGTATAGAGGGAATCACTCCTAGACCATTGAAAGTTTATCATATAAGTATAATTGGGGATCTGAGGTGACCTGCAAAAGTGAGTTTGGTCTATCTCATCTGTCCAACAATCTATCTGCTACATTGTTCTGGTTGTTGTTGGATAATGCGGCTTTATCATAAAAGAATACCCAAATACGTAGGCTTTATAGTAATAAAGGGCTGAGATTTTTTTTCTTTTTCCCCTGGATAGATAGGTGACACGTATTAATGGGTATAATTGTTCAAGGATGAGAATGATAGCTCATTACTGAAAAGCAGATGTTGCACCAAGTTGAGTTATGCATCATGAAAGCAAAGAGTTGACGGGACAAATGGAGAAGGGAAGCAACATTTCTCCAGAGCATCGATATAGGCTGCGTGTGGCAAGGATTTATTGTGCTACTATGCATTTCTGCCTCCCCAGAAACTTGTGATATTGGGGTATAGCTTTCACCCACCTTATGGGGTTGCTGCAAGGTTTATTGTGATGATGTACACATGAGGTGTCTCATATGGAGTCGGGCTGCAGGCCATCCTGTCCAACACTGTCTACTCTGACCAGCACCAACTCTCCCAAGGTCTTTGGCAGAGGTAGATCTTTTCCCAGCCTTCTGTCGGAGATTCTTTTCACTTCATCCTTTAAGTGACAGTGCAGGGTGCCTTGCACTGATATAACTACATTCAGGTAGTGATGGCTGCTGACTTGGATGGCTTTAAAATAGGGTTAAACACAAAAATGGTGGGTAAGGCCAGCTATGGCTATTAGCCATGCTGGCTATGTTCATAATAATAATAATATATTTATATCCAACCCATCTGGCTGGGCTTCCCCAGCCACTCTGGGCGGCTTCCAACAAAATATTAAAATACAGTAATGCATCAAACATTAAAAGCTTCCCTAAACAGGGCTGCCTTCAGATGTCTTCTAAAAGTCTGGTAGTTGTTCTTCTCTTTGGCATCCGGTGGGAGGGCGTTCCACAGGGTGGGTGCCACTACCGAGAAGGCCCTCTGCCTGGTTCCCTGTAACTTGGCTTCTCGCAGTGAGGAAACCGCCAGAAGACCCTCGGCACTGGACTTCAGTGTCTGGGTAGAATGATGGGGGTGGAGACGCTCCTTCAGATATACTGGACCAAGGCCATGCCACTGCTGGAGGTCTGAACGCTATCTGAATACCGCTTGCTGCGAATTGTAGCTGGGAAGAGTGCTGTTGTGCTCAGTTCCTGCTTTTGGGCTTCCCACTGGAGCATCCAGTCGGCCGCGGTGAGAACAGGATGTTGAACTGGGCGGGCTTCTGGCCTGATCCAGCAGCGCTCTTTCTATGTTCTTGTAACTTTTTGTTCCAACGCACACTGGGCTGTGCTCACATGTGGCTGAATTTGTGGCAGCACAGAAAACTTTTAAGATGGCTCAGGTCCGATATTGTGATAATAGGGGGCGTTTGTGAAAATATCATTTTTAAAAAATAAAAAAGATGGCTCACGTCTCTTCTTCAGTATCAGTGCACAGCAAACTAGCAGGTACAGTGGTACCTCAGGTTACATACGCTTCAGGTTACATACGCTTCAGGTTACATACGCTTCAGGTTACAGATTCCGCTAACCCAGAAATAGTGCTTCAGGTTAAGAACTTTGCTTCAGGATGAGAACAGAAATCATGCTCCGGCGGCGTGGCAGCAGCAGGAGGCCCCATTAGCTAAAGTGGTGCTTCAGGTTAAGTACAGTTTCAGGTTAAGAACGGACCTCCGGAACAAATTATGTACTTAACCCGAGGTACCACTGTATTGTTTCGCTCTGTGCGTCCACAGTGGTTCCCCATGAACTCAGATGGAAAGCAGGATGGGGCAAAAAAAGAACCTCCCTTCCTCAGCAACGTCCTATTTAGAGCTCTAGGGGGGACCTCCTTGACAGGGACAGATTTGAGATGTCTCTTGTCAAAGGCCCTCTGGTGTCATGCCTTCTCTTGTCAGTGGGCCCACAGGCAGCTTGCTTAGCAGTGGCAGCAGAAGGTCTCTGAATTAGAGCTGGTGGGGTCCCATAAACATTTTCCATAATGGCCAGGGTGATGTTAACATCCCTTTTGCCCTTGCATCAGGGCTGCTTCCTGCTATTCTCTTCTCACTGAACATGTTACCAATGACACCAAGGTCTACCTCACCTATGATCCTATCAGTTCTTAGCCCTTTCCTGGTTCTCCCACTGGCAGTGGGGGTTCTCCCCACCAGTCCTAGGTCCATCTTACTTATCCCTCTCTCTGTGTCATCCTCGCCCCCTTGCCATGTACTAATAGTTGTTGGAGCCAAGATTCTCACGCAGCTGTTACCCTAAGCCACTGTGGAACACCAGGAGACAGTGGGTATATTGCATCCACATTTAAGGGGCTTCATTTAGGTGATTTACTGTTTTATTCCGCCCCGTCCCCCGAATTAAGAGACCGTCCTTATGGTGGTATTGCCACAATATCCTGGAAACAAAGTCTGTGTGGATCTGACACAAACAGCTTTGCTACATAAAAAGGGATCTGTTTACATCACTGTGTCTGTCAACACAAGAGGAGAGTTTTCCTTCTGGCCTTTGCAGATGGCTTCCCTTTCACAGAGTCGCAAATTTACAAGATGCCATGGATATGCACCATGCTTTTAAAAAAGCAAATTAGCAGCTGCCTCTGTGACTTGGATTGGCAAACAAAAGGGCTGTTTTGCAAAGGGAGGAAAACGAGGTCCGAAATACCTTCCACATTACAGAAACACTGAAGGGCAGGGGGGAGGGGGATCCAACCATTTATTTATCATTCATTTACCACTGATTTTCAATCATAATTATTGTCATCATTTAATATTTTAAGATACAGTTGATAGGTTCTTCATTTTATTGTGTACTGGATGCTTGGTGGTTGGCATCTGTCGGTCTCGGGAGATAATCGAAGAGTGCACCTTTGAGGTGAATTTAAATCGTTGGAGAGCTACTGTGCCTGTTTTGCCTATAGAGACCAATATGGGAGAGACATGTTTTATTGCAGCTGGAGCAGCGTCCGGTTGTGTTGCTGCAGATGCACCATGGCGTTACTTTTCTCTGTGCTCCTCCCAGTGGTCATTCCTCCTCTGGTGACTGCTGTGGATACAGGACCTGACTGTCTGTCTCCAGGCACTGCAGTCATCTGCAAGGGATTCCCACACGGCAGGGCTGATGTTGCCAGCCTTCATGTCACTTTGCAGACATCTTTGTAACGCAGAGTTGGTCTGCCAACGGGCCTGGTGCCTAAAGCCAGCTCCCTGTAGAGCACATATCTGGGATCCTGCTATCTTCCATTCTGTGGACATGACCACAGGAGAGTGACCAAGCTGGGAATGTGGGCTTGCGAGAGCGCATCTTTCTTTGAGACTCTGTCCTGCCCAAAATCTCCCTGAAGCAGTGCATGTGGGAGGCGTGGAAGCATCACTCCTGGAGGGTGTCGATTGTGTACTACTGGACATGAATAGGTGGCAAGTAACAAGTTTTGGAAACAGAATTAGAAATGGTGGCAAGAGCGTCAGTAGGCCTTGTCCTTCCAGCAACAGCCCGCCCCCTCAAGGTAGGTGAGGGAAGTCATTTTCTATTCTTGTCAATTTGGCGCCTCAGCCTTCATTCCTTCTCAGAAAGTCAGTATGTTTTCAAAAACGTGTGTGGCCTAATGGGATCTGGGTGAGTGGGTGGCTGTGTTCCTTTTTGTTCTATCTGTATAACTGAATGTGAGACAGATTGTGAGCTGTTGTGAGAAGTTATTGGATCTGCTGGGTCATCTCTGTGAACTGTGGCTGCATATGTGGCCAAGAGGCTGAACTATAAGCAGAGAAATCTCACCCACTACCACAAAGTGACCAGGTGGCTTAGGCAAGTCGTTTTGGCTACACCTTGGCGCCTGACCTCCCTTGTTAAGTTGATGACACCAGCCTACTTTCCAGGGTTGCTGTAAGGATTCTAACAAGATAATGCTCCATTTAATGGCTAGGTATTTGTTGGTAGAACATGAGACTCTTAATCTCAGGGTTGTGGGTTCGAGTCTTACGATGGGTGAAACATTCCTGCCTTGAAGGGGGTGGATTAGATGGTCCCTTCCAACTCTACAATTCTATTAGATCTCTGTGATTAATACAAATCACCATTCAGCCATGAAGTTGTTTAGTGCCTTTGGGCAAGGAGCCTCAGCCCGAGATGTCTTTCAGGGTAGGCAGGTGCAAAATCTTCTCCCTCATACAGTGGCTGTGGTAATAGAGTCTGTTAAAGGTTATAAAAAGCTTCAGAGAGCTGTTTGGATCTCCTCACTGCAGATCCTTTGTAGTCAGGGTTGCTCTGGATCTTTTGTGGTCATGGGTCTCTTCATGGGGGTCTTTTCTGATGCTGAGGGCCTCAGGCTCCCCCCACCCCACCTCTGGATTGTGTGTTTGTTGAATAGCCAATTCTGACTGTTTTATGAGCATAGATGACAGCATGACAAAGCATCTGTAAGTGGATTCATGGCATGATATCAAAGGGGGTCTGTCTAGCCCAGCAGCTGTTGCTGGTAAAAAAAAAGGGGGGGGAGGGAACCAAACAAAGCCAGGACCTCTTGGAAACAGCCCTTTTGCTTTCTTTCACTAAAAAGCTAAAATAAGGGCTTCCCTTTCAACAGTGGCTGCCCGAGAAATTGCCTCTTAGAGTTCACATTTTTCACACAAGCCTGTAAAAGGTTTTGTTTCTCCACCGGTAAACTAATACAGGAAATGGGGTCAAGTGTCAGGAAACAATTGGGGGACCCCTAGACTCAGTGGGGGCCCTGTATTCAACAACGCTGGAGGTAAAGAGTCTAGGAATAATCCCCTTTCTGTACTTTTAAAAAATGAGAGTGAATCCTTGTGCATCATATGACATGTTAAATGATACAGATAGCTAGATATATTAAGTGAGGCAAAACACTTGGTTTTCCTTGCGGCACGTTAGAACATGGGACTGTACAATGAAAACGTAAGCAAACTCATGGAGGAGAGGTTTCTATGCTGCCTCCATTTTCAAAGGCAGTATATTATGCCACTAGTAGAAGCTGGGGAGCCACAATGGGGAGTGGACTATTTCCATCCTGCAGGTGGCATCTCTCAGTGGTTGTACCTAGATCACAGAATGCCCTCCAGGATTTCTGCCAGGTTCCACCTCTTGTTGCATTTAGGTCGGCAGTTAGGACTTGTTGCTGCCGCTGTTCCAGCAAGCTTTAAATCTCTGAAGATTGCTCTGTAAAATTGGCACTGCTATCCGTGTTTCATTGTCATGTTGTTTTATGTTAGAATTACTGATTTTTGATGTCTGACTCTTCTTTTGTTTTGATTAAGTCATAAGCTGCTTTGAATGCAACATACCAAAGTGTTAAGTGTGTGTGTGTGTGTGTGTGTATTAGAATGAATTAGAGTTTTGAAATAAACAAGGAAGTGGTAGCGAGGTCAGTGGCATAACAACAACAACAACAATAATTATTATATATTTTTTATTTATACCTTGCCCATCTGGCTGGGTTTCCCCAGTCACTCTAGATGGCTTACAGCATATACTGAAACATAATAAAACATCAAACATTAAAAATTTCCTGATACACGGCTGCCTTCAGATGTCTTCTAAAAGTTATGCAGTTCTTTATCTCCTTGACATCTGAAGGGAGGGTGTTCCACAGGGAGGGTGCCACTACTGAGAAGGCCCTCTGCCTGGTTCCCTGTAAATAATAAGGCATGATCTTCCTTAGGACAGAATATGACTCACCTGTGGTTCCCAACTAGGGATGTAATAAGGCTTCCTTTTCTGCTCTGCTCTGCACTTGTCACACGCAGCACTGTTTCCATTCTGCTGCAGGTCATCTTCCGTCAAAAACTAGGTTGTTTGCCTTGCACACCACTGTGGCAAAATTACATAACTTATGTAGTTTTTGCAATTGATTGATTGATTGATTAAATTTATATCCCACCCTGTACCTGCATGTTTCTCTTAATTCCATAGATTATGCAGTTACATCACCATTACATTATTCCACTCTTTCATTTCAGAGAAAAGGAAACCCAGTTGCAGATGTCTTTGTTTGTGTGGGGTGTTAATCAATTATCAATTTACGGACTCAAAACAACAGTGTAGAACGATCGTATTCACTGGATCAATTTCCATTCCAGATATGGGATGAATAAGGAAACCCTGGCACCTTCTGCTCCCATTTTCATTGGAATTCTCTGACATCCCTACTCCCAACGCAGCAATCTTAAGGTTGCTGCTGGGTGTCAGGTGGTTCTAATGCACTGGTGAACCCCAGGGACCAGCTGCTTAGCAACATTGACTCTCACACTTGCTTCTGCAACTGGCTCCTAGGGGGCGGCTTTGCGTCCAGCTCCTCACCCTCCTCTTGCCAATCAATCGTGGCATGGTGTTGGGTGCTAGGAGTGCTTAGATCTCCGAATTTGTTTTGGGGATAACATCACCTTTACTAATCAATGGCCACTGTTATCCTAGCTGGGAGAGCACCATCTTTTAGGCAGCCCAATCCCATGCATGTTTAAGCAGCAGCTGTTAGGGATACGGAAGGAGTTGGATTCAGTTCGCATTTAAATCCCTTCCAGACATGTTTTTTTATTTCACATTCACGATGTTTTGTGCTCATGCTGGTATCGGGGCAGTTAAATACAACCCCACTTTCACTCCTGTTTGCTCTTGCAAAAGTTTCAGGGCAGGCATATAGCTTTGTTTCCAATCGGTGCATGTCCCATAGCTTCCTGCTGAAATCCTATAATTTTTCATATCAGAAATGTTCTGGGGAGCTGTGTGTCTGTGTGGTATAGCACTTTGTTGCACTATAAAAAAAGCAGAATGTGTGGACACTACCATTGCACCATTACTGTGTAACTGATATGTTGCAGAATATAACTGCCTCCAAAAAACTTTTCTGGAGGGGCTCAAGCATGTAAAGTGTGAATGCACTCACATCTGTCAATTCAAAATTCTTGGCTACCCTGATCTGATAGTTTAGAATAAAAGCTAATTCCCTAGAGGAAGTGGAAGAGATGATTCACTTTGATCAAGTTTGTTTACCATGCTTATAGGAGTCAATTGTTGGTTGGGCCATTATAGAAGACAGTTATTTGATCTTCTCCATATGTGTGAGGGTTGTGTGTGTGGTGGGGGGAGGAGTAGAATAGAAAAAATTCTATTTTTGAAAGAAAGAAAAAGGAAGATCCTTAGGGTAATAATCAGTCTGAATTACAGCTTTCAAAATTAATGCCATGCAGGGGTGGCAAGTATAACGTGTGCATTTTTAATCGGTGCACCCCCCCGTCGGTAATCAATATGCTGTATAACGAATGAGCTTTAATAAGCACACTCTGTTTTATTATTCTTATTAATAATAAGGAGGCCCTTGAAAATATCCATGAAAGGAGGCACTTAAGTTGATAATTAATAAATGCTGGTTTTGGTTTCCGCTGCTAAACAGCTTCCATGAGTGGGCTTGATAGCGGCTAGATCTTCATTCCAGCAGCAGAGGGAGGAAGATGAAAGTGTGCCTGTGTGTGTGTGTGTGTGTGTGTGAGAGAGAGAGAGAGAGAGAGAGAGCTGCAGATTAATAAGCAACTATAGCAGAAACTGCTTAACACAATGGAGTTATTTTGTTCTCCAGTTAGGAACATGAGGCAAGGTGGTGAGCTCAGCAAAAGTTCAGCTATGGCAAAAATTGCACCATCTTGGCTGGGTTGGGTTATTTCCCTACCTAAAAAGAAAACTTTTTCAAAGTAGCTTTAATTTGTTCCTCCTACAGCATCCCTCTCTGGATGGAAACTGTATGACAATTTATGATAAACAAAATCAGTAACTTGTACAGTGGTACCTTGGGTTACAAATACCTTGGGTTACAAACACTTCGGGTTACAGACTCCGCTAACCCAGAAGTACCGTATTTTTCGCTCCATAGGACGCACTTTTTCCCCTCCAAAAATGAAGAGGAAACGTGTGTGCGTCCTATGGGGCGAATGCAGGCTTTCGCTTAAGCCTGGAGAGCGAGAGGCATCGGTGCGCACCGACCCCTCTCGCTCTCCAGGCTTCAGGAAGCTATCCGCAAGCCTTGCAAGCCCGGTGGGAGTTCCCGCGGGCTCACAAGGCTTGCAGGCAGCAGCCTGCAGCCCCGGCGAGTGTCCGCAAGCCTTGCGCGCCCGGCAGGAGGTCCCGCCGAGCGCGCGAGGCTTGGGGCGGCAGCCTGTCGCCCGAAGCATGGGGAGCCCTCCGGAGGGCTCCCCGTGCTTTGGGCGAGTGTCTGCAAGCCTCGCGCGCCCGGTGGGAGGTCCCGCCGAGCGCGCGAGGCTTGGGGCGGTAGCCTGCAGCCCGAAGCACGCGGAGCCCTCCGGAGGGTGCCCCGTGCTTCTTGCAGGTGTGCACAAGGCTTGGGGCGGCAGCCGCGGCGGGTTGGGGGAATAATTTTTTTATTCATTCCCCCCCCCAAAAAACGAGGTGCGTCCTATGGGCCGGTGCGCCCTATAGAACGAAAAATACGAAAAAACCTCAGGTTAAGAACTTAATAATAATAACTAGAAGCCAGGCCCCTGGCTCTAAGACAACTGTTGCACATCCTACAGACTGGGGAGCACGACATACAGAGATGGGTTTAGTTATGGTGCCTGACCAGCTGTAGTGTTGGCTTATATCCCTGCAGTAGGGAAAGCAGCAACATATTAGCGCATGAGGGCAACCTGAGGGATTGGTGCCCAAAGCAGTAGTGTTCGAAGGAATTTGGGGGTGCACACGTTGGACAGGGACGCCCAGAAACTTAGGTAGGACATGGAATGAGGCCAGCATTTGTGCTGACCTCCCCAGTGCCTAAGGAATGTACTCAGTGGGTCACAGAACATGCAAAAATGGCTTGCCTCCTACTTCGGACTGGATTTGTGGCACAACTGTAAACAAATAATCAACAAGAACAAAATAGGTCGGCCACCACTGGACTATAGATAGGGTTTCAAACAGTGTTGTATTTAACTATGAGGCTGCTGGCCTCTGTACATGAATTGTGGAGGGAATGGTAAGGGCCATC